AGGCAACAGAAAGGCAGAACAGGAGAGTCAGCAGTTCATGTTTCAGCTGCAAACTTTCACCTTTAGAACAAAGTAAAGACCTCTGAAAATGTTCAGATGTTGGACAAAGAGGTCAGATGGCTTGAAAGAGGGGTGAAGGAAGCCATCTTTGTTAAAGGAGAGTGGAGGAGGGCTCCAAGCATCTGAAACTTTGTTCTCGAACTTATTCTGAAGAAATGACAGAAGCACCCTAATTAAGACTCAAATGCCTAACAAGAAACCACACAGAACAACAGACTCCACCAAGCGCAGAGAAGCACTGATGGCTCTTTGATTTCGCGCCGGAGGATGAACCTTTATGGACACAGATTAGCTATTCATAGATATTTAGTTTATAATAAAAAAAATATAAGGTATAAGCTGAGGAGAGCTATCTGGCAGTAGTGTTAATTTTAGCAGCCATTTTTAAATTTAGTTTTAGTCTTAGTCCAGTTTCAGCATCGTTTGTTAGTTTTTATCACATTTAGTCGACATCATCACATTTTTATTTAGTCTAGTTTTAGTCGACTTAAGTCAGAGCATTTTAGTCTTTATTTTAGTCCAAGAAAACATAATTTTATTAGTTTAGTTTTAGTCAACAAAAACTGTCAACATTTTAGTCTAGTTTTAGTCAGGACATAATTTTAACCTTTTACTTTTTTGTCAGCAGATAACGTTTAAGATTTCCTAAAATTATTTCAACATTTTCTCTCATCTTTTTGATAAAAAAACACAATTTTAAGGAACACATGCAGACATGGAAGATGTTCTGACAATATTTGCATATTTATTTTGAACATTGTTAAGTTTCAAAGACACAAACACAAATGCTTGCATTAAAACAAATAAAACACACCTGGCAAATGAAACAAATAAGTAAAATAAAGTGTCTTATGAACTTTACACAAGTGCTGGCTGTTTAAAGCTAGTTCACATAGAATAATAAAATAAATAGATTTGAGGTCAATGTTGTTAAAAAAAAATAAAAAAAAATCCAACTGATAGAACAAAAGTGCTTTCCTTCCAGCTTTAGCTGGCCTGTCATTGTTTCTGGGTGGCTGGTAGGTTGTTGTTGTTGGTGGTGTATCTTTAATCTGGAACAGAAATTAATACAATGTCAGGATAGATAAGCAGCATAACAGGAATTCCAAGTGTATAAGTAGCATATATGTCTGTTTTTTTCCTTAACAAAAACTAAGTCTCTATAAAAACTACATTTGACCATCCATTTCAAACTCATACAAACAACCTAACTATCATTTTATGCAGGAATAAATTGCAGACATTTTTATGTGTGCATGCATTTTGGTTGTATTAATATTGATGCCAATTCAAATCAAATGTCCTTGTAATAGTAATATGCTGATAAACAGAGCATCATTTTATGTCACCAAATAAAGACATCCCTGCAGTGGTTCCCCAAGCAATGGCTATTTTGTGTATGAAAATCTAGGTTAAAGTTGCTCTGAATTATGTTTGGCATATTATTATTATTTTGTCTTATCCTGATAAATAGTTTCAGTTGGTTTTAGCATTTAGCATACATGTGTAGCTGCCGAGGTGTTTTGTGTTAACTATAGTTCACTTGCTGCTCCTAGTTCACCTAAAGCATCTGTCTGCTTTAATCAAACTTGCAATGTAACTGAAACTATAGTTGCCCGGCCAGTATAACATATCTAAGTTCTATCAACAAGTGGCTACGGTCGCTACGTGCTAACAAGCTAACGTAACGTAGCCAGCCTGGATACTAAATGCTATGGAAGTTAGCCAACATCAGTTAGTTTATCATTGGGACATTATAGCCGTTGATTTAATGTTACATTATAAACAACCACCACCAATCTTTCTGTTAACTTACCGTAATGTCTTTGTGGTGAACTGCGACGCGTCTCTTCAGGTTTGTTGTGTTTTTTCCAGCTATCATGTGGCCACATTCCTTCCCTTCCACTAAAATCAAGCATTTGGGTTTGTTCTCCACTTAAAAGCGAAAATGTGTCCATAGATCACGTCTCCTCTTTCTCCCGAGCCCCAGAGTAGGCTACTCTGTGCCCGCTCCAGGTTTGAAAGTGGGTGTGTGGGAGCTGACGAGGAGGAGGCGGAGGAGGAGACGAGACAGGATTTGAAAAAACATAAAATAATAATATATAATTTTCGTCTCGTCTTTATTCGTGAACTAAAATGTCCATAGATTTTAGTCCAGTCTTTATTTACCGAACTGCATTTTCATCTCGTCTTTATTAGTCCACGAAAATTATTTCTGATTTACTCCCAGTTATTGTTTATTAGTGGGGATTTTCGTCTCGTCTCGTCTAGTTTTCGTTCGGTGAAAAATGTGCGTTGAGGAAAATATTTTCGTTTAGTTTTTGTTAACGAAATTAACACTATCTGGCAGGTTGGGTGAAGGCTTTGAGGACCCAAATGCAGGCAACTGAGGCAAAAATCCAGAAAATGCAAGAATACTGAAAACTAGTGATGTCATGAGGTCATCCGAGGCGTGCGCTGAGTAGTGGAGACGTACTGGGGTTAAAGGAGGGAAACTTCCATGACTGGTGGTCCCCAGCTGATGACCCGATCAAGCCCAGGGCTGTACAAAGCACGCTTGCTCGAGGCACTGGTGGAGGTGCGTCAGGCAGCAATGCCCAGCAGATAGAAGTAGGGGTGGAACGGTTCACAAAATCCATGGTTCGGTTCAAGGTTTCGTGGTCACGGTGTTCAGTTCGGTATATGTTGATTGTTAGCCTGACATGTTGGTCGTGTTGCTGTTAGCATAAACAAAACGTGTTGCACAATGCTTGCACACTGTTGCACTTTTATCCACAGCTTTCTTCCCGCCGTCATCGTAGGTCACTCTAAATGCTAAGTGGTCCCATACAGCAGACCTATAAAGTGCTGCTGGCGCGTCTTCCAACTCCTGTTCTTTCCCACTCGCCATACCCACACAATTCTCCACAACAACTGATTTTTTTCTGCTACACTCGGCTACGCTGCTTCGCTTCTTCTTCTTCTTGTTTACTACTGGCGGTTGGCTTTGGTCGCAGTACCGCCACCTTCTGCTCTGGAGTGTAAACACTTCGCCTATGAGAAAAAGGAGCAGCGCATGAACCGAACGAAACACACGCGAACCGAACCGAGACGGTCAAACCGAACGGTTCGGGCAGTTTTCATAAACCGTTCCATCCCTAGGTAGAAGGCTGTCGGGGCTTCCTTCATTAAGGGGAGAAGCCTAAATTGATGACGTCTGAAGCCTTGCTGCCGTGATCCAGTTGCTGAAGGCAACTGGATCAGATCAAATGGCATTTAAACAGCCTCACTACTCAGTGAAGTTTGCTGTCATTTGGATAGATTCTAAAAATAGATTTTGTTGGAAAAACAACCAATCTAGTTGGTTTAAACCATTTTAGTTAATTTAAACAATGTAATGATCAAAATGTGAGCAAGCTGCTGGTAACAGTTGCAACATCAGCTTTAAATAGTATTGCTTTCTTACAGACTGTTGGGATCTGGAGGCTTGTCCACTTTCTCCACCAGAGGGCGCCGGAGATCTTCCTTCCTGAGGGCATGAGCTGCTCCTACATACCTGTTTCCTGTCTCCTCATTAAGAATACATATTTAAGGAGGAGGAGGCTGACACTTCCCTGCCAGAGTGTTTGCCACTAATGGTTAGCAAAACCTGAGCCAGCCTGCCTGATCTGAAACCCTGATTTTGTGAACCTGTCTGACCCTGTATCTCCCTGCCTCACAGATCCTGACTTTCTGGAAACCTGAAACTCTGGAGATAGAAATCTCTGTCTGGAATCTGCCTGCCTGCACTCAGTCTCAGTCTCTGCCTCTGCCCTCAGCCCTTTGCCTGCCGAGTAGCTTCTGGACTCACAAGGTTTCCCCCCTGCTGATCAGAATCCTCTCTGAGCAGGTATTTATCCCCACCTCAGAACCCAGAACCTGTGCATCAATTCCCTTTGTAAATATTGTAAATAAATCATTGAACTTTTTCCCTGTCTTAAGAGTGTTTTTCTGCATGTGGGTTAGACGCCTTGAACCCAACATGAAACAGTCACTATTAATGGTGGTGTCAGCTGTATGATGTTGATTTCCACTCCTTAGGTTGTCGGTTCAAAGCCCACCTCAGACTTTTGAAAGGTGCCATAAAGCTTAAGTATTTTGGCTAATCTGACTAATTTGTATTGGTTTGCCCTAGAATAAATATAGATTGGGTAAAAACTCTGCCAAATTAGATTGAACACAGCGTTAAATTCTGTTTAAAGTAACAGATTATAATTAAAAATGTCTTCTTTATTCGGACGCCAATGGTTTTAAACTGGTTACACTGGTTTATATACCTTTCATTTTGTTTTCCATATGAAACTTTAGTTTTATTCCTCTTGAAATCAAATTTTTTAAACTTGGTCTTAGACTTTTCTTTTTTCACAACTACAGTGGGAGTTCCTCCCTCGGTTTGTTTGTTGACTTGTTGACCAATCGTATGCATGCGCAGCCCGGTCACATGGGGTCGTTATGCTAAATATGTCACAGAAAGGCTATAATCACTAATAGATCTGTCATAGAAATATGGCATACGAACAAATTTATTGTTAATTCGTTTTCACAAGTGATTTATACGGAAGAGGATTAGGGCCACTGGAAAAAAAAAAAGTAAACTGATTTTTAAATTTTATTTCAGTTTAACATGGGAAAAAAGTCAGAATTCTGACTTTAATTTAAGAATTCTGACTTTTTTCTCAGAATTCTGAGATTAAAGTCAGAATTCTGAGAAAAAAGTCAGAATTCTTAAATTAAAGTCAGAATTCTGACTTTTCCCCCATACTATACTGAAATAAAATAAAAAAATCAGTTAACTTTTTTTTTTTTAGTGGCCTAAATCCTCTTCTGTAGATTTAAGACAAAATGCTGCATTCCCTTTTTTTCAGATCAAATGTCTTTTTTTTTTCCTTTAGTAAATTTTAAGCACACATTTTCTGTTCATATAAAGGATCTAAAAATCAAATAAAATAGCAGTTTTTTTCAGTACCTTGATTTGTATCAAAAATATTGACGTTCTTTGTGAACTTGGAGCTTTGGTGTCCTCCACCTTGTCGTAGTCCTCCAAGGAGACACAGCCTCCCAGCAGAGTCCCAGATCACACCCCCATACGTCCGCTTACACGGCAGAGCGGGCAGCGAAGCCCAGGAACGCGTTTCTGTGTCATACACCTCAAAAGCTTTCACCGGCCGCTTACACTGTCGACCACCTTAAAGAAAAAAGACAAAACAAAAAAACGTTTGTATTCTAAGCCTAAAATGAGTAAAAGATCCAGTCAACAGAAAGCTGCTAGATGCTTACCTGCAACATAAAGCTTGTTTCCAAGCAGATGGCAGTTGGCATCATAGCGAGGGGTTGGCATGGGGGGCAGGAGTGCCCAGACATCCTTCCTAAGGTCATACTGTTGCAGGACGTTGCGTGGAAGGAGATCAGCGCCCATTCCTCCAACAGCCAAAGCCCGACCATCTACAATGGAGACAGACTGGACATTAAAGCTGTGCTCTGGGAAAAGTTTTACACTAAAAGGTTAAAATGATTCTGTTGCTGTTTCTCAATTCACAAGAGCACCAGAACAGATTTGTGTTCTCACCAAGTCTGTTCCTGAGAAGAACCCAGTAAAGTCTGGACTCTGGGAGAACGGGAGCACGCTGAATAAATCTGGGTCAACTGGAACAGAAGCGTACTGATGACATCACCACATTCAAAGCTAGTCTAGAGCTGCATTTCACCTCCTGCTATTAATAGTCTCTAAATAACTATAAATTATGACTTTTGTCATTTAGTGGAGTAATAATAATGAACACAGTCGCATAAACAAATGAACATTTTGCCAAATAAAACAAAAAACTCGCCATCAGAGCCAGCGGCCATTCACACACGGCTATGCAGGATGAGGGCCGCTGCAGACGGGCTGACCTTAGCCCAGGCTGCTGCAGACAGGCTGACCTTAGCCCAGGCCGCTGCAGACGGGCTAACGTTAGCCATGGCCGCTGCAGACGGGCTAACGTTAGCACTGGCCGCTGCAGACAGGCTGACCTTAGCCCAGGCTGCTGCAGACGGGCTGACCTTAGCCCAGGCTGCTGCAGACAGGCTGACCTTAGCCCAGGCTGCTACAGACGGGCTGACCTTAGCCCAGGCTGCTGCAGACGGGCTGACCTTAGCCCAGGCTGCTGCAGACAGGCTGACCTTAGCCCAGGCTGCTGCAGACGGTCTGACCTTAGCCCAGGCCGCTGCAGACGGGCTGACCTTAGCCCAGGCTGCTGCAGACGGGCTGACCTTAACCCAGGCCGCTGCAGACGGGCTGAACTTAGCCCTGGCCGCTGCAGACGGGCTGACCTTAGCCCAGGCCGCTGCAGACGGGCTGACCTTAACCCAGGCCGCTGCAGACGGGCTGACCTTAGCCCTGGCCGCTGCAGACGGGCTGACCTTAGCCCAGGCTGCTGCAGACAGGCTGACCTTAGCCCAGGCTGCTGCAGACAGGCTGACCTTAGCCCAGGCTGCTGCAGACAGGCTGACCTTAGCCCAGGCTGCTGCAGACGGAATGACCTTAGCACAGGCTGCTGCAGACGGGCTGACCTTAGCCCAGGCTGCTGCAGACGGGCTGACCTTAGCCCAGGCCGCTGCAGACGGGCTGACCTTAGCCCAGGCCGCTGCAGACGGGCTGACCTTAGCCCAGGCTGCTGCAGACGGGCTGACCTTAGCCCAGGCTGCTGCAGACGGAATGACCTTAGCCCAGGCTGCTGCAGACGGAATGACCTTAGCCCAGGCTGCTGCAGACGGGCTGACCTTAGCCCAGGCCGCTGCAGACGGAATGACCTTAGCCATGGCCGCTGCAGACAGGCTGACCTTAGCCCAGGCTGCTGCAGACAGGCTGACCTTAACCCAGGCCGCTGCAGACGGAATGACCTTAGCCCAGGCCGCTGCAGACGGAATGACCTTAGCCCAGGCTGCTGCAGACAGGCTGACCTTAGCCCAGGCTGCTGCAGACAGGCTGACCTTAGCCCAGGCCGCTGCAGACGGAATGACCTTAGCCATGGCCGCTGCAGACGGGCTGACCTTAGCCCAGGCTGCTGCAGACGGGCTGACCTTAGCCCAGGCTGCTGCAGACAGGCTGACCTTAGCCCAGGCTGCTACAGACGGGCTGACCTTAGCCCAGGCTGCTGCAGACAGGCTGACCTTAGCCCAGGCTGCTGCAGACGGGCTGACCTTAGCCCAGGCCGCTGCAGACGGGCTGACCTTAGCCCAGGCTGCTGCAGACGGGCTGACCTTAGCCCTGGCCGCTGCAGACGGGCTGACCTTAGCCATGGCCGCTGCAGACGGAATGACCTTAGCCATGGCCGCTGCAGACAGGCTGACCTTAGCCCAGGCTGCTGCAGACAGGCTGACCTTAGCCCAGGCTGCTACAGACGGGCTGACCTTAGCCCAGGCTGCTGCAGACAGGCTGACCTTAGCCCAGGCCGCTGCAGACGGGCTGACCTTAGCCCAGGCTGCTGCAGACGGGCTGACCTTAGCCCTGGCCGCTGCAGACGGGCTGACCTTAGCCCAGGCTGCTGCAGACGGGCTGACCTTAGCCCAGGCTGCTGCAGACGGAATGACCTTAGCCCAGGCTGCTGCTGACGGAATGACCTTAGCCCAGGCTGCTGCAGACGGGCTGACCTTAGCCCAGGCTGCTGCAGACGGGCTGACCTTAGCCCAGGCCGCTGCAGACGGAATGACCTTAGCCATGGCCGCTGCAGACAGGCTGACCTTAGCCCAGGCTGCTGCAGACAGGCTGACCTTAGCCCAGGCCGCTGCAGACGGAATGACCTTAGCCATGGCCGCAGCAGACGGGCTGACCTTAGCCCAGGCTGCTGCAGACAGGCTGACCTTAGCCCAGGCCGCTGCAGACGGAATGACCTTAGCCATGGCCGCTGCAGACGGAATGACCTTAGCCCAGGCCGCTGCAGACGGAATGACCTTAGCCCAGGCTGCTGCAGACAGGCTGACCTTAGCCCAGGCTGCTGCAGACAGGCTGACCTTAGCCCAGGCCGCTGCAGACGGAATGACCTTAGCCATGGCCGCTGCAGACGGGCTGACCTTAGCCCAGGCTGCTGCAGACGGGCTGACCTTAGCCCAGGCTGCTGCAGACGGGCTGACCTTAGCCCAGGCTGCTGCAGACAGGCTGACCTTAGCCCAGGCCGCTGCAGACAGGCTGACCTTAGCCCAGGCCGCTGCAGACGGAATGACCTTAGCCATGGCCGCTGCAGACGGGCTGACCTTAGCCCAGGCTGCTGCAGACGGGCTGACCTTAGCCCAGGCTGCTGCAGACGGGCTGACCTTAGCCCAGGCTGCTGCAGACAGGCTGACCTTAGCCCAGGCCGCTGCAGACGGGCTAACGTTAGCCATGGCCGCTGCAGACGGGCTAACGTTAGCACTGGCCGCTGCAGACAGGCTGACCTTAGCCCAGGCCGCTGCAGACAGGCTGACCTTAGCCCAGGCCGCTGAAGACAGGCTGACCTTAGCCATGGCCGCTGCAGAGGGGCTAACGTTACCCCAGGCCGCTGCAGACGGAATGACCTTAGCCATGGCCGCTGCAGACGGGCTGACATTAGCCCAGACCGCTGCAGACAGGCTAACGTTACCCCAGGCCGCTGCAGACGGGCTGACCTTAGCCCAGGCTGCTGCAGACGGGCTGACCTTAGCCCAGGCTGCTGCAGACAGGCTGACATTAGCCATGGCCGCTGCAGACGGGCTAACGTTAGCACTGGCCGCTGCAGACAGGCTGACCTTAGCCCAGGCCGCTGAAGACAGGCTGACCTTAGCCATGGCCGCTGCAGACGGGCTGACCTTAGCCCAGGCTGCTGCAGACGGGCTGACCTTAGCCCAGGCTGCTGCAGACAGGCTGACCTTAGCCCAGGCCGCTGCAGACGGGCTAACGTTAGCCATGGCCGCTGTAGACGGGTTAACGTTAGCACTGGCCGCTGCAGACAGGCTGACCTTAGCCCAGGCCGCTGCAGACAGGCTGACCTTAGCCCAGGCCGCTGAAGACAGGCTGACCTTAGCCATGGCCGCTGCAGACGGGCTAACGTTACCCCAGGCCGCTGCAGACGGAATGACCTTAGCCATGGCCGCTGCAGACGGGCTGACCTTAGCCCAGGCTGCTGCAGACAGGCTGACATTAGCCATGGCCGCTGCAGACGGGCTAACGTTACCCCAGGCCGCTGCAGACGGAATGACCTTAGCCATGGCCGCTGCAGACGGGCTGACATTAGCCCAGGCCGCTGCAGACGGGCTGACCTTAGCCCAGGCTGCTGCAGACAGGCTGACATTAGCCATGGCCGCTGCAGACGGGCTAACGTTAGCACTGGCCGCTGCAGACAGGCTGACCTTAGCCCAGGCCGCTGCAGACAGGCTGACCTTAGCCCAGGCCGCTGAAGACAGGCTGACCTTAGCCATGGCCGCTGCAGACGGGCTAACGTTACCCCAGGCCGCTGCAGACGGAATGACCTTAGCCATGGCCGCTGCAGACGGGCTAACGTTAGCCCAGGCCGCTGCAGACTGAGAACTGATGATGTCTGTGTTACAGACCCTGGTTGGTGCACTGAAGTATTTATGACAATAAAAAATAGAGACAATGTATGATTCTAATCTAATGTGATTCCAGAGGAGTTAAAGCAGCAGGATGAGACTTCCACCTTTTTCAAATGACGGTGAAACCAGTCATGTGGGCTTTGGAGACATTATGAAACGCAGCCAGTTTTAGCTCATCTCACATCCTCAAAGCTTCTCACGGTTTTTTCTTTGGCTGTAAAGCATCTTGGTCGCACTACAGATGGTTGAGAATGAGATTTTGAAACCTTCAAGCAGCCGTCTCGCCACTTTTCCATCCTTCTGTAAATTTGATAAAAGCATTTTAGACACAATGTGTGTCCACTGTAAGGTTATGAAACCTATTTTATGAAATGCTTAAACGTTCAATTTAAAATATCTGTTATCATTTGGCTCTATTGATCCTGTTGTCAGACTGGCTGTTGTTCTGTTGGTAATGCTGTGGGGGGGGGGGGGGGGGGGGGGGGGGGCATTGTACAGTCAATACTTGTGTTTGTAAACTGCTTCTATCTGTTCTCAACAGAAAATGATGGATTCACTACTGAACACAGACTCGTTCGAGGGTAAAAAAGAGCTCCTAAAACACGTTTAAAACCAAAACCAAAATGGAGGGAAGGCGAAGTTTTTAAATTGAATTGACTTTATTTTATTCCTCTCTCACATCAAGTCACCTCAGGTCCTTTTAGAGACATTCATTCAGGTCATCCAGTCAGATTGGTTGAAGTTTTTGTTAAAGAAAACCACCTGATTGCATAGAGTCATTGACTCTCCAGCAATCATTCACACCCAGCATGCATGCAGCGACCATGGGGAGGAAAACTCCTGTTAAACCCTGCTAATCCCAGGAGTTTATGGTTTACCTACAAGCCTCCCTCCTCTCTGGAATGTTATGTATTCACTAAACCTTGCTAATTCTTTTACTTTACAAGTATATAAATACTTAAAATCATCTACTTTAAATCATTTAATGCTCAATTTATAAAGTGTTTAAACTAGGCCTGCAACTAATTATTATTTTGAAAATCGATTAATCTGTCAATAATTTTTTAGATTAATCGATTAATAATCGGATAGCCAAAGGTTCTCCAAGAAGATTTAAACTTAAACTATAACTTTTCAACTTTCTTATCTTAAATGCAAAATGTTCATATATATGTTTTTACAATTTTGATATAATTCCTGCTCTAAGTGAGCTGCCATGTTTTACAGACTATATACAGAGCTCCAGTTAACAATTAATCAGTTACTAAATTAGCTAATGATTATTTCAAGTAGGGATGCAGGATATTGGGATTTTGGCCGATATCCGATATGCTGATATTTTAAAACTCATGTAGCCGATAACCGATATCGATACCGATGTTAAAGCTGGACAAAAATAAGTAGTCATTGAAAATAGCAGTTTTGTTATCCATTTCTGACACTTTGAAAAATATTATACTCAAATATATTTTCATATGCTGATATCAAATAGATTTTTAAAAACGCGGTATCGATCTATTTTACTTTCAAAATCTGGTGAAATTTCATCGTTCTGTTACAAACTCTCATGATATTTTGCAAATTCTTGTGAGATTTTGTTAGTAAAATAGATCGATTACCGCGTCAATATATCAACATATAAAAATATGGCAACATTTGGTGAATTTTCGGGGGATTTCGTAGCATAACGATGACATATAGCAATATTTCATTAGTAAAAAGATTGATATGGTGTTTTTAAATGGCAATATATCAGCATATGAAGATATTGGGATATTTTAATGATCAATATTTTTTCCCTCGTCTTTAGAAGTTTTAAGTCTATTAAAAAGAAGTTTTTGAGGAAGAAGAAAAGTAGTATTTATTTTTTTTAGA